GTTTGAAAGTTTCAATATTTAGACGTAAATTACAAAATATCTTGTAAAATATTCATTTTTTATCATCTTACCTTAATACTTTTTTGAACAGAATAATGATACAAATCAACTGGTGTAAAGAAAACAAACAATTTTGTAACAAGCACAAAAAAAATTTTTTTTAAATTGCTTGTTACAAAATTGTTTGTTTTCTTTACACCAGTTGATTTGTACCATTATTCTGTTCAAAAAAGTATTAAGGTAAGATGATAAAAAAATGAATATTTTACAAGATATTTTGTAATTTACGTCTAAATATTGAAACTTTCAAACCTTAATAACTCAAAAAGTTCTTAATAAAAAAATACTTTATTATAGTGTTTTGGAAAGCCCTCGAGATAACCTACAAGAATATGTAACGAGAAATAGTAGGTTCCATTTAAGAAATTGAAGGTAACCTTCATGTGACCTTCAAATTACTCTTCAAGGTCAAACCTATGGTACCATCTTATGTCCCCCTCGAAACCATACAACTTTTGTCTGAAACATTTTTTCATATCTCTTTTAGTTTTTTAAAAAATCGACTGTATAAATTAAAATGGCCCACCCTGTATATGTATATACAAACTAAAAAGTTAATATTATGTAAAATTATTTGAAATAATGTGTATATACTATATTGATTGTAATGCTAAAAATACTTTATTTTGTAACAATACAAAAAAGTATCCATCTTTTTTTTAATCCTATATTATTATATATTATGCAACTATTTTTGATTATTATGAATTATAAACACATACAATATATATAATACTGTTTATGCAGTATTGTTGTATATACAGGGTGTTCCGCAATTCGTGACCGAAATTTTAATAACGTATTTCTGAACAAAAAGTAAAACGAAAATCCTAATACGAAAATGTCGAGGCTATAATACTTTTCAAATGGGAAGCATTTATAATAGACAAATCAGGTAGTCTAAAATTCGCGCGCTCAGGGACGGTACATTGCACAGTGATAAAGGTACTCTTGCATCTTTGCCGATATACCTAAAAAAATTTAAGTAATTATATGTTCAATGATGCTGATATTATTGATTGAGTCATATTTAAACATGAAAAAAAATAAATTAAAAATAATAAATATGAGAAGTTGTCCACATGAGAAGTTGTCAACTTATGAAATGTCACAGACAATTTATATGGTAAAATATTTTCATCAATATCGATTTATATTGAAGTTATTTTTTAAATATGTAGATAAGATCGATTTCATATTTTATTCAATTTGGCAATGCCTAATGGAAACATATGTTGATACAAACGTGAAATTTATTAGGAAATCTAGTAACAGTTTTTTTCTATCGAATATTATAGTTCTGTTGTGCTACTATTAATACTATGAGATATTGTATTTGTATAATAACGTTTATTTAAAATTTGTTACAACATATGTTCAAAATGCCCTCCGCCCAATTCTACACAATTCTATAGTATTTCGTAGTAGTACAATTAATAGTAGTACAATAAAAATATAATAATCAATAGAAAAAAGTTTGTTATTAGATTTGTTAATAAATTTCGCGTTTGTGTCAACATAGTTTCCATTAGGCATTGCTGAATTAAATAAAATGTGAAATCTATCTTATCACATATTAAAAAAATAACCTCAATATAAATCGATATTGAAGAAAATATTTTTACCATATAAATTGTCTGTGACATTTCGTAAGTTGACAACTTCTCATATTTATTATTTTTAATTAATTTTTTTTCATGTTTAAAAATGACTCAATCAATAATATCAGCATCATTGAACATATAATTACTGAAATTTTTTTAGGTATATCGGCAAAGATGCAAGAGTACCTTTATCACTGTGCAATGTACCGTCCCTAAACGCGCGAACTTTAGACTACCTGATTTGTCTATTATAAATGCTTCCCATTTGAAAAGTATTATAGCCTCGACATTTTCGTATTAGGATTATCGTCTTACTTTTTGCTCAAAAATACGTTATTAAAATTTTGGTCACGAATTGCGGTACACCCTGTATACATATACTTTATACAATATCATGAATGAAATTACTTTATTTTACATTTAATATACATCATTCCACATACAGGGAAGAAGATTTACGCTTGATGAAAAAATTTTATCATTATCATTATATAAACAATCTGGTTCTTGTTACAAACTGCTATCAAAATTATTCGTACTGCCAAGTGCTAAAACTATCAAATCTTTGTTACAAACAATCAAATTACAACCAAGAATCAACAAATTTATTTTTGAGCATCTACAGCAGCATATTGCAGAAATAAATAACGAACATGACAAATTATGCGTGTTAATGTGGGACGAGATGTCATTAGAAGCCAATTTTCAATACGATTAGTTAAATGCTAAAATCATTGGCTTTGAAGATTGGGGACATAGACGTACATCTTTCATAGCAGATCATGTATTGGTATTTATGGCACGAGGAATTGTGAAAGGTTGGAAAATTCCATTGTATTATGGCTTTTGTAAAAGTCAAACCAAATCTGCACAATTGTTGAGATGTATAAAAGAAATCATAAAAGAATTAACTAAAGTTGGCTTGAAAATTATTACCACTGTATGTGACCAAGGAGGACTGAACATGACATGTATTAAAACTCTTCTTCAGGATTCAAAAAGCGAATGTATAAAAACAGGCAAAGAATATCGTAAGTATAAAATACATAAAATAATTTAAAAACATAATTAAAAAATTTTTCGCATGAAAAGAAAAAAATCTTAAACACCAAAATTGTATCGTTTATTTTGGCGCATTTCATAGTAATATTAGTATGACCTTGAATAGTTTTATCAAGGTTATCTAAAGATCACTTTCAATTTTTTATGCGGAACCCTCCTTTTTCATTACATATTCTTGTAGCTTATTTCAATAGCTTTCCAAAACGCTATAATAAAGTACGTTTTCGTTAAGTACTTTTGGAGTTATGAGGATTGAAATTTACGGTACTTCGTATCAATCCCTGAATAACTTTTTAAATATCCAAGATAGAGAAAAATGTTCAACACTAAAGTTGCATCGTTTTCAGTGGCGCATTTCATAGTATCAGTAATATCAGTATGACCCTGAATAGCTTTATCAAGGTTATCTAAAGATCACCTTGAAATTTTTATATGGAACCCTCCTTTTTCACTAAATATTTTTGTAGTTTATTTCAACAGCTTTCCAAAACGCTATAATAACGTATCTTTTCCTTAATTACTTTTGAAGTTATGAGGTTTCAAAGTTACGGTACTTCTAGCATTATCCCTGAATAACTTTTAAAATTTCCAAGATAGGATTTGAACACCATCCCTTATGTTCCATTTAGTTGCGTCACATATACAACACAAACACACACACACACGCGCGCGCA